AAAAAAAGGAGGGAGCAACGCGGCCGTGCGTAACGAACAACCAAAGATCTGCAGCGGCTGCACTGTCAACTCCAGCTCTGACTGTAGTGGCTTGACAGCTCCCGCTGAAGTGGGAAGCATTTGAGCGTCATCTGTCTCCTTTACTCCCATTGCCCTGCAGCAATAACAGCAAGGAACCAGAGGGTTTGGTGCTTGTTTACCATGACAGCTGCAGTAAGGCAGGTTGCCACGATGGGGTACCGGCTTGGATGGCAGCCCTCTTGCAGCAATATGTGCAGATGCCGGGTTACTGAGCTAGAGAGTTCAGCAAGAACACAGCTGAGGACCAGAGCCCAGATGGTTTTTCGAGAGTTTGGTAGAGGGAAATGGGGCTAAGTGTGTCACAGGACATAATCCACACACATGCAGGGGCTCTGACATACACTTAAACAGACACTCAAGCACAGCATGAGATACTGCCATTAACTTGGCATTTCAAATCTACATGCCCCTGTCATCAGCAGGCCTGACATGCCTCATTAATCTTTTTAGGCATGAATGTGGCTGCCGTCTTGTACAGGCTCCATCACTGATGCAGGGTAAATAGGTTACAGCATTTCACTGGTGCACCGACTGTGGTAACTAAAAATCTACAGCCTGTAGTTTCCCCAGCATCATAAACTGGATCACTCCCATAAACATCCTAATCCCCTGCTAAATATATAATGAAAAAAATGAAAAAAAAGTCTGTTTTTCCGATTCTGTTTAGATGAAGGGAAGAAAAACTAGGTATGTGTACAGACATTGTGTGCAGGAAATCTTCATTTTGCTCTTGATATTCAAAAGAGACTTCCTGTCTTTGAGAACCTGGCCTTTTTTCTTTGTCAGCACTGAAGTGGTTAGTAGCTGCAGATAATAACACTGAGACAATCAACACTGGTTGCACACTGATGCTGAGCACATCCACAAATACACATAAATTCACACACACACACACACACACACACACTCACACATACCCACACACACAGATCAAATTGTAGGGATGAAATTCTCTCTTTCACAGCATTATGTTTCAATTTCATAACACACTCTGTAGCTGAGTCACATTGTTTACAGAAACACCTGCCATCATGTGCCCACACACAGGCCTCTTACTTCTGATCTGCCACATACACTTACAGGCTGAAAATGATATGTACAAGGGCATGCACACAAACACATCCATATAAATTTAAATCAATTCCCCTCCCATAATGATCCAGTCTTGTAACCTGGCATCCAGTGACAAGGCAAACCATAATAGCACACAGTGGAGAAAATGACTGAGAGGCACTCACGCACACATATATCTGTAAGTAAAGAGCTACATGTGCTACAGTACATTGAAGTCCTTGGATGTATAAAGATACACACACACACATCCGCTTACACACACTCACACTGGTAAGGGTCATCAGGTCCCACCGTGTCTCTGAGGTACTACATCACTGAGTCATTCACCTTGAATGTGTTCATGTGCACAAGGCTTTTCCAATCTGGACAGAAGCCTATCAATCAGCCTTCACCTCAGTCTGCCATATTTGCCAGTTTACAGGCAGACTGCGAACTGGCAAATGCTGGGACATGGTATCAGTTGTTGACTGAATGTGTGTAAAGGAAAGGTGCAGTGGGGGTGTTTGGTTTTTTAAATCGAATGATATGGAATCCCTCTTTGTAATGCAATCACAAAAACAGATTGATGGGACAAAGTGTTGACTCAACAGTGGTGCCTATATTGTATTCATGCCCGCACACCTACGTGCACATAAATATAGCAGCTAGAGCATGATCATGGGCGGATGTAAACTTGAGGTCATTCACGGGTCCATGCAACAACACATACATACATGTGAACATGAAACACATCAAATAAATTTAGAATAAATATATATATATATATATTTTAGGGTTCTTTAATCCTTTAATCCAAACGTTAAGTGTTGTTTAAACAAAAGCTGAGCTGTACAAGAATTACATACAAATAGTGTAAAACTGACTAAATATTTGATATAAGTCAGAAACTATCCAATCAGAGAACAAGCAAACTTATTATTATTATGAATATGATCAAACATTTGGGGCCAGCTTTCAGCACTTGTGACAAACACATTTTAGTCAGGACCAGAGAAAGATGTGTGCAGACACTCATACACAAATATGAGCACACACACACACACACACACACACACACACACAGATTCAGCTCTTAGTGCTTATTGAATCAGTAAGTGGTGTGTCAGCAGTGGCACTTTACCAAAACTAACTTACAGAAAGTGAAGAGAGAGAGAGAGAGAGAGAGAGAGAGAAAGAGAGAGAGAGGGAGGGAGGGAGAGGGAGGCAGTCTGCTTACAGGCTGCACGAACAGGTGAGAGTTGCCATAATGTCCCACATTCATATCTATAATTTCACCAGCCTAGCCT